ATTGCAGACTGTAATGTAAAGATTCACATTGTGTCAATTTCAAAGTGATCTTTACAATTTAGATTACACTGAGCAGACTCTCTCTAAAATCTGGGGGATTTTGTTTATGGTTCAAGAAGGTAAAGAGTGGATAAGCCAACATGGGGAGGTTCAGGATTGACATTAGGAAGCATTTCTTTGCTGAGAGGGTGGTCAAACACTGGAACAGGCTCCTTAGGGAGGCAGTTGATGCACCAGGGCTGTCAGTGTTTAAGAGGCATTTTCACAATGCCCTCCATAACATGGTTTAACGTTTGTTTAGCCCTGGAGTGGTCTGGCAGTTGGACTGGATGATCATTGTAGGTCACTTCCAACTGAAATATTCTAAATTATCTGAATAATTATGGTGCATACTGGATACTTCAGTTTTAGGTAAGAAAAACAGTACTGAAAGGTTCCTAATTCCTACACTAATTACCTAATAATTTTTTTGCCCCCCCTCCTTTAATAGTTAACATTTCTGAAACAAGTACTTGAAATTTAGAATTCACCATGGAAATACTACTGGGCTGTGTGTTGTTACAGTAAAACACAGGGTGCTTTTTATACTGTTCCACAAGAAAATAAATTACTCAACGAGTATGTGATTTTAAGATTCATTAGATCTTCTCTTCCTCTGTCATTGAACAGCTTTCCACTCACACTGAGGTAAAGAATGTCAGACTGTCGGGGCAGTGCTAAGAATTGAATTGGTCTGTTTAAAGGTATCCTTCTTAATTTAAGCACCTAGCTGAACCCGTGATAGTCATGTTTTTGGAAACGGTGGTTCAGGTTACGAACAAAAAGTCACAAACATGTTAAGACTTTTCTGGGTGAACTTTTGAGCCCACTGAAAGTGTAAGAAGTATGAGTAATACCTCATGCTGTGCTAGGAAGGGAATTTTAATGTGTCGTTTGTGATGTTCAGTCGCTGATATCTTCTTAATAAGGACACATCTGTTTATGTCATTTTTTAGGTATGATAAAGCTCATTCTTTTATAGAGCATGTTTCATCTTGAAGTCTCCTAAGCACTTATGAAGTCATATACTGCTGCAGATACTGTTGAATGTATTCACCTGTGAAACATGGCATTGTTCATTAGTATATAGAAATTGAACCAATAGTTTAGAACAGAAAATGGTGAGCAATGCTTTATCCACATGAAATCAGATGGGCAGTTCAGGACAGCGGAACACAACTATCTACTCTGATATCTGGCAAGAAGAACAAATTAATACTCTTGTCCTTATAGAGAAAACAACAATGAGACTTAGGTCCTTTTCTTATCTCTTATTTGAAAGAGTATGTTTCTAACAACATAAATGGACTCTTGAATCCACCTAGAACATCAGCATTAGTTCACTAACGATACCGGAGGAGAAATCAGAAGTACTACAGCAAGCAACTTCTCTCTGTCAACTATTTCCTTAGCAATCTGTTTGAAAGAAACAAGATATTTCTTATAAATTACAAATTATAGTGAAAAGTTTCATTCTCCTACCAAGTACAATGGGTTTCAGTAGTCAATGATTTGTAAAAATTTCTGATGCTTACCATACTATTATTTCTCATATGAGTGCAAGTGCATTTCCTTTCTCTTCATGTACAACTTTTTTTTTTTGTCTGTAGCATGAGTTCTGTCTTTAGTTTGAAAATGTTCTTACACACCCATGCAAAAATACATGCTTTGTTGTGTTATAAATTACACATTTCAGTGCATATCCTGACTTGTACTTCAAAAGGATAAAATGCACTGCTTATTTGTTTATTACATAATGTGCAGAATAAGGCCATAAAACAAAATTGGAGATAATTTCAGTGTCACTTGGAATGTTAATCCAACACTGGACTAACTCTTAGTGTGTGTGTGTGTGTGTGTTTTGAGAACTGGATGTCTATAGATAATATTTCTTGAAAAAAAAATGTTGCAGATAACTGAAATAGTACAGGGTATCTTGTAAAAATATGTGTCTGCTGGTCAAACAGTGTGCTTAGTAATTTAAAAGGACCTTTTTTATTTCCTCTTTCACTTCTATGCCATCTCAGCATTTCCAAAGCTACTGTCCTTAGAGTGGTCACATCACATGAAGTGCGTAAATGTCCACAGAGTTTTGTAATCTCATTCTAGCTATTCATGTTATAATGCACCCAATACCCTTTAGATAAAGACGTCTTACAGTCATTCTGACTTGAGCCGAAGTAGAATCATGACCTTAAAATCTTCAGCAAGCCAAGTCTTCTTTAGTTGGAAGAACTTGCTTTTCCTCACTGCAGGCATAGGGTTTACTGTTAAATAAAGAGAAACAAAAATATTAAGATATATTAGAAATACAGTATGATGCAGTGATTAAAAACCACTGAGTATTCAGAAAATATTCAGTCAGGTCTTGACTCTGGTCTGAATTTGTGTAAACTTGGAGAAGCCAGTTAACCTGGTCTCATTCTGTAAGACTGAAAGTGGAAAGCTCAAGGTGATCCCGATCTGCGTAATTATTTTGATCTTGTAGAAGGTGTTAGATCTGTTAACACTAATATTATTCACAGCATTCTTATTGCCAGTGGTAGTAGTAGTATTTTCTAAAAAAAATAATTAATAATTTACTTTATTTTACTCCTTCCAAATGGTTTCTCAGGTACACATGGCCCCCCAGGTACACATATATACATGTCAGCACACATACAGCACAGCCTGCATGGTAACAAAATCAATTTTCTAGGCTTTTCTAGCTGAGTACTTCGATGACACATCTGTTACAATAGTAGCAAAATAACCATGTTACAAAAATATCATACATAAGTGGGAAAAAAAAAAAAAGTAGGAAAGTATTTGACTTGTTTAAGCTTCAGTCAAATCCCATTCATTAGACCTTGTAAATAAATCAGTCCCACAACATGAAGCCTATGTAGCCAAAGTACTTTGGAAGAGCTTTTGGAAGAAAAATCCCACCCTTCACATTCTGCAGTATAAATGTCCTGTGGAGAGACATAGGACTGTAGTCCCTAGGCTTGCCAATTCCTTATCTTTTTTGAATGTTAAATTAATATTTAAAGCTATTTATTCAAAGTTGACTTAACCACTAGAATAGGAAAGATCAGACAAATCAGTTGCAAGAAATGAAGTACGAGGAAACCAGAACTCTTTGACAAAGTATTCCTTGGAGTAAACGTGTTGAATGAAGCCAGCGAGTAAATGATAAGGGCCTTTGCGCTCTGGATATAAGAAAGCAATTTATCAAGAGTACATGAACTCTCCAGTGACCAGAAGCCAAGAAGAAACCAAAGTACAGGAGAAGAAGTCCCTATAAAATTATTCTAAATGCTCAGAAAGTTTTGTTTAAAAAAAACAGTGAGAAGCTGAGGTGCTGCAACATAGTTGATAAAGTGGAAAGAAAATTAAATGTAAACATTGATACTGCATGATGTCATATGCAATTCCATCATATTTAACTTCACAAGGGGATAACAATTACCTTCATCCAGCAAACCTCCCCTCCCCTCTAAATTATTCACGTCACAGTGAATAACATGAAATTCACACAGAAGGGTAAAACAAACTAGTGAGCTCAAGTAGTAGTGAATTCATGATAGAATTTATGGTAAATCAGGGGACTAATTTTTAACATGTTTAAAGGCTGGGGTTTAGGGTGTAGCTGTTTTCTTTTTTTCGCCTAGAGGTTAAGTGTCAAACCTTTAACAGTCCCAATCAATTCTGTATAGCTTCAGTCTTGGTCATCAGTTAATCATAAATTTTCTGTAATTTCTTTTAAACTTATGAGTATTGTAGTTTCTGGGGCTCAGCTCAGCACCCTTCTACTGTAGGACTTAAAGTTAATAGTGACGTTTGGAAACTAGGCCTGTTTCGGACTGCATCTGTGAAAAAGAATTGTTCGGCGGTGACCCTCAGAGGTCTGTTTTGGGACCAGTGCTGTTTATTGTCTTGATCAGTGACATAGACAGTGGGACTGAGTGCATCCTGAGCAAATTTGCAGATGACACCAAGTTGAGTGGTGCAGCTGACAAGCCAGAGGGACCTGGACAAGCTCAAGAAATGGGGCCCTGTGAACAACCTCATAAGGTTCAACAAGGCCAAGTGCAAGGTCCTGCACCTGGGTCAGGGCAACCCCCAGTGTCAATACTCGCTGGGGGATGAAGGGATTGAGAGCAGCCCTGCTGAGAAGGACTTGAGCGTACTGGTGGATGAAAAGCTGGACATGGGCTGGCAGTCTGCTCACAGCCAGAAAGCCAACCATGTCCTGGACTTCATCAAAAGCAGCATGGCCAGCAGGTTGAGGGAGGTGATTCTGCCTCTCTACTCTACTCTGCTGAGATCCCATCTTGAGTACTGTATCCATCTCCAGTGCCCTCAGTACAAGATAGACATGGACCTGTTGGATCAGGTCCAGAGGAGGGCAACAAAAATTGGGGCTGGAGCACCTCTCCTGTGAGGACCAGCTGAGAGACCTAGGGTTGTTCAGCCTGAAGAAGAGAAGGCTCCAGGCAGACCTTATTGTGGACTTTCAGTACTTAAAGGAGGCTTATAAGAAAGATGGGGACAGACTTTTTAGTAGGGCCTGTTGCGATAGGACAAGGGGTAACGGTTTGAAACTAAAAAAGGGAAGATTTAGACTAGATACAAAGAAGAAATTTTTTACAAGGAGGGTGGTGAAACACTGGCACAGGTTGCCCAGAGAGGTGGTAGATGCCCCATCCCTGGCGACATTCAAGGTCAGGCTGGACTGGGCTCTGAGCAACCTGATCTAGTTGAAGGTGTCCCTGCTTACTGCTAGGGGGGGGTGGACTAGATCACCTTTAAGGGTCCCTTCCAACCCCAATGATTCTGTGATACTATGAGTCGCCCAGGTGATGTTTCTCTGGAAAATAAGTGTGTCTGCCAAACTGGATGCGTTTAGATAATTCTTTGGGATTATTTTCTTGTCTTTCCTTTAGCTCTTCTCTTATCCTTTACTCCTTTTCTTTCAGCCTTGGACAAGCTTAGTACTCAGCACCTCTACCACCCAACCCAAGTGGAGATTGTGCAGTCCAATGTTGTGTTTGACATCAGCAGCCTGATGCTGTATGGTACTCAGGCTGTGCCTGTGAGACTGAAGATACTACTTGACCGACTCTTCAGTGTACTGAAGCAAGAGGAGGTGCTACATATTCTACACGGTTTAGGCTGGACACTTCGAGACTATGTTCGAGGCTACATCCTTCAGGTAGGAAATAAAGCAAAGCATGTTTCCAAACTCACTTAACTGAATTTTTATTTTGTACAGACATAGTGACCGTGCACCAAAAGATGTAGAACAATATGAAGTAAATTTAGCGTGGCATGTTGAAGACTAATGATGGCATTGGCAAAATAAAATATTGAATTTTTCCCAAGCTAAAAAAATGCAGGTTCCTTCGTACCATAGTATTTATTTGTCCTTGCTTACGCTTATTGTAGGAAATACCTTAAATGCTGCAAATACTGAGGTTAGCTAGCTACAAGCCTGATTTGGTCATCAAAGGCAACTGGCAAGTTTTCAAGGGCTACTGTTTGAGTTAAGAAACTAAGATCCAAATCAGCAGCTCCTTCATCTTTTCTTTCCTTCTTTAGCAAGGTATCTAATAAGGGGTAGATGAAATGGGGGTTGTGATCATGGTTCTGTTGGGAAGTATCCTTACAGTGTAATGTATAAACAGGAAAATCTTTTTTATAAGGTCATTTTAAGAAGTTAGCTTTAAATAAAGTGTTACATGCAGGTTGGTTAAGATAAGATAAGCAAACCGGACATAAAATAAGTAAATTAAAAAACGGACAGACTTGCTTTATGAGTATGGTCATGAATATGTATGGTTGCTTATCTGAGGAATTTCATCATCTGTTGGGTTCCGAAGTGAATTATTACATTTTATAAGACTATTTCTGATTGAGAATCTAATACTACATGCTTCTGAGTTCTCTTAATTGCTCCTGACTTTATGCGAGCTCTGTGTCATCGAGAAGTCATCCAGTTATTGAAGCGGACACACCTGAAAAACTTTGAAAATTCTAGTTTCCGATTTATTTCTTTACTTTCCTAGGCAACGATAGCATGCTTGGCACTACACAGGAAAATATGGGAATCTTTCCTCCTGCTCTGAGGAATTCTGACTGTATTTTTTAATTCCTTTTCAATTTTCTGACCTTTGTGTGAAAGAAGTAAATTATCCTTACATGATTCTATGGAAACCTTCATATTCTGTGTTCTTAAATATTTTCTTAAATGCTTTGTACACAGATTGTTGCAGAAAAGTGTTCTGAATTGTAGAACAGTCCTAGAGAAAGAGTAATAAAAAGGCTATTACTTTAATAATGAGATCCTGTTATTCTTATTAGGATATATATACAGAATGGAGCTCTTTAGTTGTTTTAGTATTCTCTCAGGCAACTGTTTTGTAAAAGCTAAATGTTACACAAATTCAAATACAGTAGAATTCATGTTTTCCATTACCAGTGTAAAACTTACATGTAAGTATATACCCATGATATTTATACAGTAGATATCTATAGATGTTTGTATAATATATATGGAAGGATATGTATCTATAGATAGTAGATATGATATATAATTTAGATAGGTATCTATAGAGATACATACTATGAAAGCATTATGTGCTTAGTGCATCATTTTAGATTCCTGAATTCTGAATGCTACTGATCAAGAGGACTGAAGAAATATGATTCGCAAAGGAATACACATTAAAAAATGCATCCTTTCTAAGATACAACGTTAGAAAATTGCTGTTTATGCGATTAATAGTTAGGTGTAATATATTGCAAGCATAGCATGTAAGTCAGTGTCACTTACAGACAAGAAGACTGACTGAAATCAGTAGTTTTCTTGTTTTAAAGGCCGTAGAATCAGGCTCATATTGATTCTGGTTTAATTCTGTTGTAATGGTCTTAATATATGCAAGAATGGCTTGTAATATAATTACATAGAGGTTTATACAGAGTGAGGTTGTGACCTATGCTTCTGAGTGGTGTAAAGGCCTATAATACACCATTAGGTCAGAGTTCAGTTTACCTGGCTAAAACTCAATCACAGTGTAGCCTTCAAGGCATGAATTTTACCATTACTACATTCAACAACAGTATATTGAATATTATGTCAGTTAAAGGAGAACAATTATTAGGGGCAGCTGTTACAGTCTTGCCACATATTGACTTGGTTAGTGCTTGGCTGTGGATTGTTTTAGTGGGTGAATGAAACCCTATGATAGGTGTAGTTGAGCCTGCCTGTTAGCTTAGCTCTTTAATTTCAAAGAATCGCAAACCGGTAGAGGTTGGAAGGGAGGTCATTTTGCCCAACCCCACTACCCAAGCAGGGCCACCTAGAGGTGGTTGCCCAGGACCGTGTCCAGACAGCTTTTAAATAGCTCCAAGGATGGAGACTCCACGGCCTCGCTGGGCAAAATCTGCATTTTGTTTCCATTAAAGCTAGGAAGCTCAGTATATAGTAGAAAAGGGAAACTGCTTAGTAAAACATACATGAAGAGAAATCTTAGAAAAATTAATGCAATCTATGATAATAAAAAAAGTCTTCTTTAAAAAGTAACTCTATTGCAGCTATCTGATAAAAAGGAGAAATTTTTTTAGGGAAATTTGAAAGGAAATCTGTTGTAACACTAGCACAGTAAAGTGCGTACAGATGAGAACTACAAGTAATGTCTCCTTCAAGTAAAAGGTATTGTTCCATGAAGCTCGTCATGACAGAATTGGAACTCTTCACTGAATTGTTTGAGGCTTTGAAACTCAGCCTTTACACACAAAAAGCTTCCAATGAAATGGCATGAACCTCCTATAGCAGAACCAAAAAATACCAAGTACCAAAAGAAATCGCTCAGAATATGACAGAGCTATGGGATTGTTGGTAGGCTGTCATGCAGTGAATTCAGCATCTGACTCTCAGTCTAGAAGTATAGTCCTCTTCAACTTGTCTGTGCAACCCGGTCTAAGTTATAATCTAGTCCAGTTGATGCTGGCAAATTTACCATACACTCATACGTACTCATTGTACATCAAATAGACAAATATGTATCTTTAGGAAAAGGTTTAAATTTGCTATAATGCTGGACTAGAGAAGCATAAACCAATAAACTAGCTTATTTGTCTCTAATAATAGTATTTTAAACTTGTAACGTGATGAAATGATGAATATCGCTATTTGGTGTGGAAAAAAAAAAAGGAGGGTTAGTAGCTTTGGGAACACTTGTTCAGAAATACAGAACTTACTTGGAATGTGCAGACTCTGTATCCTAAGTCCTTTTTGCAAGAACTAAGAGAAGTAACAGAATAGGGAAAGGGAATGGTTGTGACAGATTCCAGAATACTTAATCCTGATTCGAGTTTTGGTGTTCACCAGTTAACCACAGTGCAAAAGATTTGTAAAGCTGGTACAAAATAGGAGTTTCATGCCTTGGGAAGGTCTAAGACATTGATCTGTGCTGAAATTTCTCCTGAATTCCATTTTCCCTAAATGGAGGGTTTTTTTGGAGGAGGAAAAAAAAAAAAAAAAAAGAAATCTTATGGTAGATGTATCCACTCAAAATCTATTATTTTAGTATTGCCAGGTATTTTCTTTTCTGTTCAAGATCCATAATGAAACTCTTCTTCCCACAAAAAAAAAGAAAATACTTTTTCTCAGTAACTTTTGAGAAAAACATCCCTATTTGCTCCACTCTAGAAACAAGAGGAAACCAGTGCCTCTCTCTAGTTGTGTATTAGCGCTGCAAGGTGGGTGGGATTATTTGTAATACCCTCATTTTGACTAATAATGTTTCTCAATAGCAAATTAAAAAGCAGCGGGCAGAGAAAAATGCAGTATTTATTGCTTCATTCAGTGGATGCATTAATGGAGCACAGGAAACGAAGGAACCCTGAAGCCAGCGGAGGTAATGTGATACACTGCCTTTCACATTTGGGCACAGTCACAACATTGCCAGTAACGGCTGAAAGGCATTGAGACCTGGCAAGCTTTCTCTGACATCCGTGCAGATAAACCTAGTTTCTGAACCTATCTACCTATCTCTGAAAGGTCAGTGAGTGACAATTTGGTCAGCGGTCTCACCAGCTTGCTCACAGGATTAATGTTTTGGAGGAGGAGTTGTTCTGCCGTCTTTAGAAGTGATCCTCAAAAAAACCTTACTGCATAGGGAGACTTTCTGGACCGTGTCTGCCCCATGGGTATCCAGAGTGCTTCAGTTTCTAGGCTTGTTTATCTGGTACCTGTCTCAAGGAGCTGAGTTACTGGTTTTGGTGTGGAGCTGTTAGTGAGCCTGTAGGTTTTCTCTTTGGGAACAGCCAACACAACAACTGTCTTTACATGATGGGAAATTATTCTGTCAACAACAGTAGCTGGTTTAGGGCAGATTCTGCACCTGCTACTCAAAGAGATGTGATTAGTGTCTCTGTTGATTTGGGCGAAGTTACTTTTGCTGTAAAGAACAGCTCAACTGTGAGTAAGCCTGCAGCCCTGGTTTGGTTCCAGCTGAGCTGAGTGAAGAGGTAACTTTGCCAGCTGTTCCCCTCTGCTCCACCGCTGGAGAATAGTTTACCCCACCCATTTGCTAGTGTAACTACATGTGTAATCGCTCCCTAGCCAGGTTCTCTCTAAACAAGCCAGGTTAGAAAAATCCTCCTGCTAAACATGTGCGAGTCAACTCTGATTATTTTGAGAGGCAAGGGCTAGAGAACAATTATGCCACCAGCAGTGAACAGCTGGGACATTCAGCTTTTGGACTGGTCCAGCTGCAGACGACAGGACATGTGACCACAACTTAGAGGCCATAAACTGACTCTTTGCAAATAATGATTCAGTGTTTTGAGTAACAGCTCAACACTTTTTCGACTGTTTTGTGATCAAATAGTGGTATTCCCTTAGTGTAAAAGAGGAAAATAAATATTATCTTTACAGTACAAAGAGGGAAGCAGAGGCACAGAACAGAACATTGGCAGAATCAGGAAAAGGGGCTAGACCTAGGATTCCCATTCTTACCAATGTTCCCTCGAAAAAAGTGGATTATAGTTAGCAGCTCGTAGGCAATGTCTTGGCTGCCAGACTCTCTGATGCCACTCACAGCTATGAGAAGCTAAAAAAAAGAGTCCCCAAAATCAAAACTAAAGCCAACTGGAAACGTATGGGTATTTTCTTGGCCCACATGGTGACTCGCTTAAAACAGTTCCTGC